GTCCCAAGTTTCCAAAGAAATTTTAAACCTCAGGCTGCAGGGCAAAGCCTTCAAGGGAGAAAAAAAAAAAAGGGGGGGGGGGAGTATTAACAAGGGGAAGAAGGGGGGAAAAAAAAAGCCCATTGCTTCAGTCTAGCTTACTCCCCCACCCCTACCCCAAAACAGAGTAAAAACAAATCTCTGGTTTTATCATCTTTCTCTGCTCTATGTCTAGGTTGAGTCAGGTTCTGCTGTACTCTCTCTTGGCTGTGGCTATGCCCTTCTGTGCCTGATGCAAAAGAGCCAATGCCAAATTTCTTTTTCTGCCCCAAACACCTTTTTGGTAAACCAAAGGAACAATAAAACAACCATTTGGAATTCCTCATTTTGCAGAGATTTAGCTGGTCCCCCAAATAAAAATACTCCTCCCTTGTACAACAACCCCCAGTAGCAGTGGTGGATCATTCACAGTGGAGGATTAGACTCCATCTGCCATCTTGCACTCTCATTCCCCACTCCTGGGCTAACTACTGCAACTAATGCAAACCACAGCAAAAGAGGAAAAATAAACAGTTTAGCAAAAATCTAAACATTCAACTGGAGTCGGTGCTGTTAAATGTGCTGGATCCCTCTTCTTTTGCCCACACTTATGAACATGGAATGTCCACACCTGGTTTGACAGAGGCACAGCTCAGGAGCAGCATGGACCCAGCATAGGTCTGAACTTGGCAGGTTTCCGGAGCCCAGCCAAGGAAAGCAGGCTGGAACAAAGGGTCCCAGGAATTCTCTGGAGGAGCAGCAGCAGCACCATGCCTATCTCCAATCTCTTGGTCTCATCACTGAGGACGACTGGAGACAAGGCAGTCAGCAGAGAGGTCCCTGTCACAACGCAGTGACACCAGCTGGCATCTTCCTGCTGAAGACTTCTGGACAGAGGAGATGATACTGATGCTTGGCAGTGATCCATAGAAAACCCTCTGTATGGAAGGGAAGCGAACCAGGAACCCAGAACACCTGGCTTGAGCCTTGAGCACCCCTGTAGCAGATGCCTACTTGGGGTTCTCAGAAACTAAAGGGATTGGAGTATGCAGCAATGGGGGTGCTGGGTCCTGCTGCTTCTGAAGCTCCATCTCGGCAGCCCTCTGCAGCGCCACCTCCACCAGCAGCTGGAAGCTGCTGAAGTCCTCCTTGTCCTGCTCTGGGGGTGTGGGCGGTGGTGTGTTGAAAAGTCCACCTGTGGGGCTCCCAGCCTCAGCCCTGGTCAGCAGGGCAAGTGTACTACCAGGGGTCACTAGGGACTTGGGGGACTCCAGCTCCCCTGGTGGGAAGGAGGCTGCTGGCTTTTCCCCCTGGCCTGTGTGGAGCGGCATGGAGCACACAGACAAAGAGAGCACATTGGCGGGGGCAGGTACCGACACTGCCAGCACTGAGGGGCTGTTACCACGGGGCAGGGCCACTTCTGCGGCCTTACCGCCACGGCGGGAAATGGTGAACTGATTAGGGTCTTTGCCATCCTTCCGAAGCATGTCTGGGAGAAGCCGCCGCCGGGCGTTGATGAACCAATTACATATCTGGAATGAGTATAAGAGACTGATTAGTTCACTCCATCCAAAACTACTATGAAGTTCTAAGTCCCAGAAACAACAAACATAAACAAGGTCCCAGCCCTCACAGTGGGTCACAGAAGGAGAGTATATGAGAAATCACACAAACATAAACAGTGCTGGTGAAGACAATGACGGGGAGATCCAGTCTGGCCTTTGTGGATTTGGGGAAGTATTCCCTGAGGAAGCAGCTCTTCAACTGAGATCTAAAGTTATAAACAATTGATGAGGAGAGAACGGGCAGGGAGGAGTGGCAGGTAGCAGTAGAGTACCTATAAGAAACTCTGAAAGCAGGCCCACTTTGCTGGGCTGAGGATCCATTTCTTTCTCTCTCTTTTTTTTGGATACTAGGGATTGAACTCTGGGCGGGCAGGGAGGAGTGGCAGGTAGCAGTAGAGTACCTATAAGAAACTCTGAAAGCAGGCCCACTTTGCTGGGCTGAGGATCCATTTCTTTCTCTCTCTTTTTTTTGGATACTAGGGATTGAACTCTGGGGCGCTTACCTAATGAGCCATATCCCCATTAACATTTCTGTATTTCTTTATTTAGAGACAGGGTTTCACTAAGTTGCTGAGGCTGGCTCTGAACTTGCGATCCTCGTTTCAGCCTCCTGAGCTGTTGGGGTTACAGGTGTATGCCACAGTGTCCTGCAAGGATCCATTTTTCTTTCTTTCTTTTTTTTTTTTTTTTTAGGATCCTTTTCTTGATCAGCAACAAAGCTATAAGGAGCTTTATAACAAAGCTATCATTTGCTTTGTGGAAGCAGGGAGATGGGCTGGTAGTTCAGGTTACATTAAGGCATGAGGCAAGAAAAGGAAAAATGTTTGATCTATTTAGGAAACTGGAAGTGGCAGGACCTACGCTGGATGAGTATAGGTGAGTGAAGGAAAGAGGGGATGGTGTGAAGAGTGATCCACTCCTAAATCTGAAGAGTGTTAGTGTAGGCTGGAGAAAAGAGCCACAAATTACCAAGGAAGGGTCAGAAGAAAAATTACTGTTTTTGAGCAACATCAGGATTATGAGGCATGAAATTCTCCACTGCACACTGTGATATGCTACAAAACTCAAGATGCCTGTAGATTCATGTGTCATATGCACACAGAACTAGGGATGGATTTCCAGAAACTTATACAATCTAGGCAAGTACTCTGCCACCAAGCTACAATCCCAACTCTGTATTTGATTCGATTTGATTCTGAGAAATCAGATCACTACATTGCCCAGACTGCCTTGAACTTGCACTCCTCCTGCCTCAATCTCCTGAGTTACTGGGAACACAGGTGTAGCAGTGCACCCAGCCTCTAAACTCTTTTGAGAACCAGCTTCACAGTTTCCAGTCTAGTCTTCTCACTGGTTGTCAGTCCCTTTCTAAAATGCAATGGCTCTCATTTCTATTGTAGAAAACTGCCATTTTTGTCTTCCTACTTCCTACAGATCAGTCCAGATTCCAGAGCCTAGATATTAAAACAGTCCCCTGATGGGCATGGTGGTGCACACGTATAATCCCTGCAACTCCAGAGGCTGAGACAGGAAGACTAAAAGTTCAAGGCCAACCTGAGCAACTGGGCTAGACCCTGTCTCAAAATAATAAAAAGGGCTGGGGATGTAACTCAGTGGTGCAGTGCCCCAGGGTTCAATCCTGTTTCCCCCCCTCCTCTCTCTCTCTCACACACACACACACACACACACACACACACACACACTCTTCCACGCAGAGGTGGGGGTGTATGGTAGGTGATGACTCTAAACCAACAGAGCTGATCCCACTAGCCCAGAACACTATGGGTTTTGTACATTTGTATCATCAAGCTTCTTTTTTGGCCCATTATTTGGGGTAAGCCCTTGGGTCCCATTTTCCCCTTGACTCTGCCTCTGTCCAAAAGAATAGCCACCTGTGAGAGAAACTGTTGCCTGCCATAGCTCTCTACCTAGCTGGTTGCAGCAGTACCCATCCCACAGGTGACCCAAAGATAGCACTGTGTCCCTGTGAGGGCAGAGTCAGGAACTTCTACGGCCCCTCTTTCCACATCCATTTCAGCTTGAAAGGACCTCAACCCTGAAGTTCATTCATCCCACTTCACTTCTGTGGTCTTCCTAGTGAAACTGAACAGGCATCAGTAGCAGACACTAACCAGTGCTGGTAGAACTGAATCCTGAGTTAAGTACAGGGAAGCCCCAAAGAAGAGATTGGGCTGAATTGCTGAGGAAGCAGAAAGAAGGAAGAAAACTTATTACACACCTTTGATATCACCAGCCATCTCATTTGCATTACGTTTAATCTGCATACAAGCCTGGGAGATAGTGGGCAGTGTCCCCAAAGTATTATAGAGGGAATCAGAAGCTCAAAAAGATGAAAGAGGGGCTGGGGTTGTGACTCAGTGGCAGAGCACTTGCCTAGCATGTGTGAGACACTAGGTTCCAGGCCTCAGCACCACATAAATAAAATAAAGGTATTTGGTCCATCTACAACTAAAAATTAAAAAAAAAAAAAAAAAGGATGAAAGAACTTGAAAGGCTCAGTTATTCAGCCTATAATCCCAGCTACTTGGGAGGCTGAGGTAGGATGATACCAAGTTTGAGCTCAGCCTCAGCAATTTAATGAGACTTTGTCTCAAAACAAAAAAACAAATAAGGTTTGGTGGGACTGGAAGCACAGCTCAGTGCTAGAGCATTTGTCCAGCATTTGTAAGGCCCTGGGTTTAATCCTCAGTACCACCAAAAACAAAAAGTCTGGGGACATGGCTCAGCAGTAGAGCACCTCTGGGCCCAATCCCCAGTATTGGAGGCTGGGGGTTGTTGAGATGAAAGAACTTGCCCAGAGTCACGCAGCCTCTGAGTATAGAGCTAGTATAGCCAAACAATTATGACTACAATCCTAATAGCAACACCTGAACACAAAACATCAGGTGATCTGTTAGAGAAACAAGAGGCCTTGGTCAGGGAGGTTCAGTAATTCCTCAAGATCACAGTACAAAGGCTGCAATCTGACCAACAGTGAGTTCCAGGCACCCTTGTTAGCCAGCCTAGGGGCATCAGCAGAAGACCCTTTCTCTCCCCTGGCTCAGGAGCAGCGCTTTCAGCTATCTTCCTTCCATTTCTCCTTCCTCCCTCCCTCCCTCCCAAGGCAGCTTCCTGGGCTACCTATGTTATAGGAGGGCACTGCACCTGTCCACCCCAGCCTTAGATGCAGGTAATCAGTCAGGTCACAGTGACCTGGGCCAGGCAAAGTCAGGACTAAGTCTAGCCTTGAAGCTATTTCAGGGAGGGGTGCCCACTAGCAGCTGTGTGGTCACCTAGCCCCTAGCTGCACTTCCCATTTTGGCTTATGATTCACAGAAGAGAACAACAGGAAAACGGCCCCCGT